GAAAATTGGAAATATACAGCTTACGTCATTTCTATCTGTTACAATCAAAACATTCATTGATAGACAGCGTAATGGGCGGGTACAATTAGACGCGGACGTTTGGAAAACATCGGATTGAAATAGCAGATTGAAATTCATTTTCAATGCACTCAGCTACATGTACGCTACAATTCGACGCGGACATGTGGAAAACATCGGATTGAAATTGCAGATCGAAATTCATTTTCAATCCACCTGAACTGTTTTCAAAGCAAAGAGTTAATATATGATCCAAAAATCAACTAATTTCAACTCCCGAATACATATATTGTTTGAAGTTCACATTAATACGAGTTTTAGCTTATAATTTTAGGGACGCGAAAGATCATAGAAGACAAAGATTATTTTTCAGGAGATATTTGATTCTAGATGGGGGGGGGGGGGGAGGTAAAAATTGTCGAGTCAGGTCATGACTTACATGTAACATGACAACAGATTTTATTTCTAGGATTATAAGAGTGCATGAGTTTTATACTTATAATCACTGAAAAATGTTGGACAATTTTATTTAAAATTGTTAAGCCCCCCTTCCCTAACACAAACTTATATTTACCAAACAGAAATGAAATATTTGTCCCTTAATATATTTTTTAAAACACTGGACAAAAAATTCAAACTGTACCAAAATTGAAATTATACTGTCTTTTGGGTCAATCAGTAATGTGCCTTCTAGCGTAGCTGAGGTGGATTGAAAATGAATTTCGATCTGCAATTTCAATCCGATGTTTTCCAAACGTCCGCGTCGAATTGTACCCGCCCATTACGCTGTCTATCACTGAATGTTTTGATTGTAACAGATAGAAATGACGTAAGCTGTATATTTCCAATTTTGCCAGTTAATGTTCTGCGGTCTTATGAAGGAGTACATGTACCTCTTCCTAACTGCAAAATGCACCGGTGAGTGGACTTCTCTTCTGTGTTAACTACGGAAGGAGTTTTGTCATGTATACATGTATACATAACGTGAACAATGATTCGTTGTTTCGCATCGCGACTCTGTGATGCGGCCAATCAAATGACCCCATGCATATTTAATTACATACGACGATTTTTCGGCGAGTTTGCCCACGGGTGATAAGTAAAGACGAGATCACCCGTGGGCTTCCGACGATGCCCTCTCCCTAACCATGAGAAATATGACCAAGGTTAAAGTTTTAAAGTAGGTCAAAGTTTAAGGTAAAGGGCAAAAGCCTGAAGTTGTTGGTTGCTGTCACAAGGATAAGATATGTGAGTTATGAAAGCCAATCCATAACTGTTCAAAAATTAAGGGCAACGTTAAATTTGGGTAAAATTTTGCAAAACTGAGTCAGCCTCCGATATATGAGAGCAATAGCCTCAACCAATCAAAAATGATGGAAAATAATTTTTTGTAGTGACAAAAAAGGATACATTTAAGCTTGAAAATGTATAAATACATACATGTACATAATCATGAGACAAAAATAATAATTCCCGGACCTGTTCATTTTAACGTGGATATGTTACTGTACTCTTCGTATTTTACACTATAGGGACTATAACTGGCGACTAATTTATCGCTAGGGCTAGCATTTTTGATTGACGCATAAAATTTATCAATGCGGGAAAATAAGTAAACACTTGCTGTGGCATTCAATTCAACTTGAAGATATATCGACGTCGTATTGTCAATTAACAATGGTTATTTTCATTCCTCTGTCGATAGATAAATCCTGCTGAGCTTGAGATAAAAGATACCACAGCATCTGACACATCTTTTTCATACTTGGATATTGTACTTGAAAAAACATTAATGGTAAGCTAACAACCAAGCTTTATGATAAATATGATGACTTTTTTTTTCTATCGTCTATACCTTCATCACCTGGCTTCGGAGTTTGTACATATATACATGTGTATATTCGTTGATTCGATACGCAAGAGCATGCTCTACGCATGAATAATTTTTAAAACGAGGTAAAATATTGAAAAACAAGTTGATGATACAAAAATATCAGCAGTCTCGTTCAAGGTCATCATGTCGTTGACCTTTGATCGATACAATGACATTGTCAGCAAAGACAATTTATCATTGACTCAAATGCTGACTAACGTTTTCCATTCTAAGTGTTAGTTCATTATTTATACACACTGATTGACGACAGATTTCTCCGTTATTTCCCGATCATAACAAGGAGCACACGGCAGATGTGACCGATCGGCAGAGGATGCTGACTCCTCAATGACACCTGATCCCACCTCTGATGTTTTGGAGGTCCCTGTTTGCTCTTCTCCTATTTTAAATTGTTTTATTGACTTTGATATTGAATACGTCATAAAATAGAGATTTCGTCTTGAGGTGGTAATCGTAAACAGAAGAGCATAAAATGTTAATAAATTAACAATCCTTAACGTTTTTATTTATTTATAGAATACCTTTAAGTTTTTTTAAGTTTTTTTAAATCGATAAAAAAATTTACCATTGTTGGAAAACATTGCCAAATCTACCAACCTCTCCAATTCTGGCTGGTAGGAGAGAGCTATACTTTGGGACTAATGAACACTATCTAGGCCTGAATACCTATTGACGAAAACTTTGATTGGCGCATGAATATTTTTGATAATGCACCAGCCAGCGACAAAATTTAATTAGATGACTTAGCGGTCTTCTACGGTGGCTGGTATAGGACATGGTATGAGATTTTTCTTTATTAATTCGCGGCCACGAAATAAAATTTGTGGGATCGAAATAAAATTTGTGGGATCGAAATAAAAATTCGTGGCCAAGAAATAAAAATTCGTGGAAACGAATGAAAATTCGTGGGAACGAAATTAAATTCGTGGCCACGTAACAAAATTTTTGGGGAACGAAATAAAATTCGTGGGAACGAAATAAAATTCGTGGCCACGAAATAAAAACCTTGTGGGAACGAAATAAAATTTGTGGCCACGAAATAAAAATTCGTGGGAACGGAATAAAATTCCTTGACATGAAATAAAGTTGTGCTATATAATGTCATATTTAGCTTCTCTTGTATGTCATTCAAGATGAAGGGACTTATTATTATCATTCAATTAGACTGAGCCAAATAGATTTTTCTTAAAAATCGTTATGGGTATTGAATAATATGCCTGAATTATTATTAACTATTGAAATTTGATTTTTGCCGGTAAATTGCATGAAGAGCTGATGTACGAATAAATAGTATCAATACTGATCTCACTAGTTCATCGCAATTTTTCCCTTAACAATTACATGTACCTTAAAGTTTATTGAAGTGAACACACTTTTATTTGTATTAAACAGTTGAGTTTTATGTGAAAACAATCATGACAATATACGAATATTGCTCTCATTTTTAAGATGTCACGTTCCCGATAATAGGGGCCTACTCTGCCACTAATTGTTAAATAAATAAACATTGAGTGATTGACTAAAAACGCCTTACAATTACATTCTATTTATTTCAAACTGTGTAAAATACATTGAAAAATGCACTGCAGATAATCTCAGCTATTGTAAATAACATGTATTCTCAGATTTTTGTCTGCACATCGGCGTGCGTCTATGAACACATCTAAATAACGAACCCGATCTGTCAATTAGTCAATACACTAGATTTTTTATCTTTTATTTCGTGGCCACGAATTTTATTTACTTCCCACGAATTTTATTTCGTTCCCACGAATTTTTATTTTGTGGCCAAAAATTTTATTTCGTGACCACAAATTTTATTTTGTTCCCACGAATGTTTATTTCGTGGCCTCGAATTAATAAAAAAAATTCTCATACCATGTCCTATACCAGCCACCATAGTCTTCGCTAAAATCAGTAGAATCTTTTTAAATTCGCCTACGATTTCTTTAGGATGACATCTTTTCCCTGCCTTCCGAAAGAACGTTACTCTAGAATACAGTGATTCATGTCTGTCATCGATAGCTATATTCCCCTTGATATAGATATAATAACGTTTAACAAATTCTTGAGGCGGGGGGGGGGGGGGGGGGCGTTAAAACAACATACATTGAAATAATCAAATATAGTTTATCATTTTGAAGAATATCACCAATTCCAAGTTTCAACTTGAAGACGTTGATTTGGATTCCAATAAAATATTATTGATGACTATTTAATTTGTTCATGAGGTTGTTAGTTATACTTGCTCAGAAAATAGAATGTTTACATAAAGTGTAAAAGGTACTTGTGTTCGGGAGGTTCGGGTTCGATCTCATTTACGGCGCCGCGTCAAACCTACATGTAAGACTTAAACACATGTTGTGACTGTTTCTTCTCCAAGCGCTCGGCATTAGGAGTGAAAATCACGGGTCTTTTGAATATGACTTTAAAATGAAAACGTAGATCCCGTGTCACGGTAGGCGTTTGCACGATATAGAACCCTCACTGTTCAATGGCCCTGAGAGCCGGGTATAGGTCTAAATTTGAAGCCCTTCACCGGCATACGGTGATGTCTTTTTATGAGTGAAAAATTATCGAATGAGACGTTAAACAATACACAATCATTAATAAAACAAAAGGAAAGGGGTAATACATTGATTGGGTTTAATAGTGACGTTTTAGATTTACAATTGACTGATTAAGAGTAAGGTACAATTTCATGTTTAACTTATTAGAATTACAGTTGAGCAAAGGAAAATAATGGAATTAAAACAAAAATTCAAGAATAACTGATTAATAAAATGCTGGATATAATGGATAAAAACTATAATTGGGAACTGAATAATGCATTTTCATGATCTCACAGTTACATGTAAAATGAGGATGATAACAAAAATGTACTTTTTTGAGTAAATAAAATACTTTGCCAGTGATATTGCAAATAAAATGTACGTTGTCATAATTCCTTTTGAGTTCCATTGAATTTTTTTTTCCAATGTGGCTATGTGGCTAGATATCGATCCTACATTGCAGTTTTAAACTATTGCAAATTAAGCTGCGAGGTTACTGATTCAGTACCCTCAAATAGGTTTTAGTATAACTTGTTATTTAAAAACTCTATTTAAAAGTCTTTATCACATCATTGAAGAAATCTGTTCAAAATTTATTTGTGGTTTGCAATTCCTGATATTGGTGTATATTTTCAAATTCCTTCAATTCCTCGTAAGCTGGTTTTGTAGGTTGCAATTCCTGATATTGATTTATATTTTCCTTTTCCTTCAATTCCTCGTAAACTGGTTTTTCAGTGGTAGTTTTTCCTACATTTGTTTCATCGCCATCTCTTGAGAAGGGGCGTGTTATTTTCCTTGGATTGAATTTTAAGACTCCTCGTCTTCAATAATAAAATGAATATATGAGAATACAATAAGATTTTACGGATAGGTTTATGTCAACTTATATACCAGTCATTTCACCAAAAGTAGTTAAAGAAAACTATATGCGGTGTATTGCATATCTGTGCCCAAACAAAATTCGAATTTTGAAAATTTCTTGAAATGTGCTAAATTGATTATATTGTATAAGATATCTAAATTAATAACAAATATGATAGTTCAAAGTAGGTTATTGTCATTTTTCCCTTACGTCACAAACTATTCGGATTTGGTGTTATTTTTCGGAAACATTGTCAAATTTGCTCAATTTTTTTCAAGCCTGCACCAGAACAATATTTACATATTTCATTTAATTTGATATAACCATTCTTCACATAATATCAAAATATTGAGCTCGAGAAGACCTGCGCTAGGTGATTTTTACTCAAAATATCGACGTAATATACACCTTGCTCAATTTTTTTCAAGCCTGCACCAGAACAATATTTACATATTTCATTTAATTTGATATAACCATTCTTCACATAATATCAAAATATTGAGCTCGAGAAGACCTGCACTAGGTGATTTTTACTCAAAATATCGACGTAATATACACCTTAGCTTTTCCTATAGAAATCATGGACAATTTATATAAACGATAGTTTCCTCATGTTATACATGCATGGCATCGTCGCTTATGAAATTTTCAGAGCTTTGAAGTCTGCAGATATCTCTCTGTTTTCGAACATTATTATGTATTTCTCCATCAAAGTTTGATTTTTAAGGCAAATATTGGTAATTTTTCGCATATAGTCCATTGTTAAAAGTTTTGAATTCTTTAGAAATATTTTTTTCGACAAGAAAACTTAAAACATAGTGAGTGCTCCTTAAGGGAAAACATCCTCTTGAAAGAGTAAATTTTTTCTTCAAAGTTATTTTTTCATAGCAGGAATATTCGAGAAAAAATAATCCTAGCAAATATTACTTCAGACAACTTTTTGTAAAACATTAATTTGATAAGAAAAACACAGTTTGATTACATTAAATATTCTCTGAAGACAGTTAAATTACAATTCGAAAATGGTCAAAATCATGAAGTTCCTAACAATAATTTGATAAAACATGAAGATTACAAGATAAGAGAGAGCTTAACAAAAATAGGAAGTCTACTTTATCACTATTGTTTGTGAATATTACCTAATTAGCATTAGAAAGAAGAAAATCAATAATCCAAATATGATGCTCAGGACTATTAATATATAGAACTCTAGGGTCCATGTTCCGCTTGACGTTTTATCTACAACAAGATGGAAGTTCAGGTTTATGAACGTTTTATTGTTGTTTTCCTAGTATATTAAAATATTGAAATATTTGGGGTCTAATACTCAGCAGGACATAATATATTAAAACAGAATTAAAAATACCCTGATAATCACAAAGCAGTCCTTGATATTGATCCTGACATCCCCGGGGACAGATTCCATCAAACCTACTACAGGTTTCACCGTTAAAACAGTGACTACTACATCTATGCTGACAATTTACTCCAAAGAATCCTTGTGTATACTAGTATTCTAAAATCATTAACGGTATTGTTGGTTAGTTTTATCTAAATAAATAAATTTAAGTTTACTTAAAAATTTTTATTGTAATCAATAAGTGTCCTCCTTGAATGTGAAAGTCTGAAATACTGTATAGCTGTGCTTTGTAATGTTAATTTTGTTCCATGTCTTACCGTGGTAGGAGAGGCAGAGATTGACCAATCAAAATCTGACCAATTAAAATCTAACAAATGAAATTCTGACCATGCGGTGCGTTACTCTGCCTTTTCTCCCATCTACATCCTTGGAGGACGGACGTTGTTTCAAAGTTTGTTATTTAGTTTGTTATTTATTTTATCAAGATTTTGGTGAGTAAATTTATTTCATTATGTCTTCTATGAGTAAAACTTCAGTTGTCATTCTTGGACACTCAATTGTGCGTCGTTTTCATGAATTCTTGAAATATGGTGACATTAGGTATTCTGCGAGCCTTGGTCTGGGAGAAACGCATTCCGTTCTGTACAGGGGTGTGGGTGGAAGAAAGGTTCGTGATGTAATATCTAAGGATATGGAGAGCGTATTTGCTTTAGGTCCAGATGTAGTTGTTCTAATGATTGGGGAGAACGATATTAGTCCTAGTACCGTCGCTACCTTGTTAGCTGGAGAAATTGAATCTGTGGTATCGGTAATGCATCGCCGCTATAAAGTTGCAAAAATAATTGTTTGTAAATTATTGCCACGATTTGGTGTTCGTTTTGGGTACAATAATATTGCAGACAAAGTAAACGCAATATTGAGAGATGCATTGCCAGCACTGGGTTACTGCGTATTTTGGGAACATGGGAATTATTTCTTTTCTCCCCGTGAAGGAGACTGCAGTCGTAAAATTGTTCACGACGGAGTTCATCTGAACAGTCAGGGGAATGTTCATTTATATAGGAGTATAAGGGGAGCTTTAATTTCAGCGAGAAAATAGATATACATCTAAGTCATAAAAGTTTATCACCATTTTGTTTCTTTTATTGTTCGTCAATTTTTCAGATAGATATTCTTTGAAATTATACAACATTTTGTTATTTTAACATTACGATAGGCATTTAGGATGTCTAATAATGTAAAACGGATTTAACCTTTTTCTGTGAAGAAAATTCGGTTGGAAAAAGTATCAGCAAATTTGATTGTTTCGTTGTTGGTTTAATTTTTACAGTACTTTAGGCAGATACTAAGTACAAGTTTCAGGCAGTTTTTTGGTACTTGCCAAGTTTCAACCCATTTGGGTTTTTTCATTTTGGTTTCGGCTTTTACCATGCAGATGGCGAATTTTTCCATCGTTTTTCTATTTGATATCAAGGAATGTATTTTAAAGCATTCCAGATTTATCCTTTTTCTGTGAAGTAAATTCGTTGGAAGAATGTCTGCCAATTAGTTTGTTTCGGTATTAGTCGATTACTAAAATATTGTGAAATTTTACAGTACTTTAGGCAAGTCCTAAGTACAAGTTTCAGGCAGTCTTTTGTACTTGCCAAGTATAAACCCGTTCGGGTTTTTTCATTTTAGTTTCAGCTTTTACCATGCATATGGCGATTTTTTCCATCGGTTTTTATTTGATGTCTATGAATGTATTTCAATGCATTCCAGATCGACTTATCCTTTTTCTGTGAAGGAAAATCGTTGGAAATTGTCTGCCAATTCGTTTGTTTCGGTATAAGTTGATTACTAAAATATTGTGAAATTCTACAGTACTTTAGGCAAGTCCTAAGTACAAGTTTCAGGCAGTCATTTGTACTTGCCAAGTTTGTACCCATGCGGGTCTTTTCATTTTAGTTTCAACTTTTACCCCGGCGATTTATTTTCCATCGCTTGTTTATTTGATAAGTCTAGAAGTGCATGTTGATGCCTTCCAGATTTATCCTTTTTCTGTATAAAAAGAAAACAATTTGTCGGAAAAATATCTGCCAATTTGTTTGTTTCGGTATTAGTTGATTACTAAAATATTGTGAATTTTTACAGTACTTTAGGCAAGTCCTAGGTACAAGTTTCAGGCAGTCTTTTGTACTTGACATTTAGCCGTTTTGGTTTTTAAATTCATGTTAGGCCCACTTTTACCTTGATGATTTTTATATCGATTTCACTTCAAGTTGATTTACCTAATCATGTTCGATTCAATGGTCCAGATTATGGAGGAATTAAAATAAAATTAAAAAAAAAAAAAAAACATATCCGCATTTCATTTTTGAAGGTACAAGTTTACTGTTTGTATTTGCTATCCCCTTTATATGATATTGAGTCTTGTACAAATAGTTGTTTTTCATTATTCATTTATTAAGGTTTTATTGTTCTGCAACTGCGCTTAAATACATTACAAGCCCTTCAAGTACCTCGTTTGTAGTAGTGATGAAAACAATTAACAACAGCCGAACAGGTTGTTATCTGTGGGAACTTGGCACTACAGCCTTCTAGGGAATTTGACACGGTGCGAGGGTTGTCGGCTTCAAAGGTGGTGATTTATAACTTATGTCAACTTTTCGTTTTATGTGGCGGATAGTTCTTACTGATCAGCATCGGCTTAGTGATGTTGACTAATGGCTTTTGCAGTCGCACAATGGGTGCTTTTATTGGCTTACGGCAATTCGGGAAATACAGATCTGTTCCAAAACATTCTATTATTTACTCTATTTCCGGAAAATTTTTGTCAACAACTGTAGGTGATACAGGGTGTTTTATCGAAAAGCGGCAGAATCAATGAAGTGAAAAATTAATTGTAAGAAAAGGTTCATCACTTTCTAGTTTGTTGTATTAGATTTACACATTGTACTGAGCGATGAAAGTGGTTATATAATGTAATGTTAAATATCAATATGATCAAATACGTTGTCATGTAGGCTAACTGACTCTTACAGTTGGGGCCTACACTGGCTACAGTGAGGTCTTACAATTCTTGTTCATTGTCAATTAAGGCCGAAGCCTTTTACAGTTTATATTTATACATAACATGATATATTGGATACATACTTCTTCCTTAATTTTAAATTGATATAGGTATATATTTACCAGCATTATGCCAGGCAAAAGGAATAAAGCCCAAAAGTCCAAAACAAGTCAGGTGAAAAGACCACGTCGTGCACAGAACGGAACTGGAGAGTCCACTATCAATGATGCTGTGGCTGTCGATACAAGCACTCAACCCCTTGATGTTCCTCCAGAAACCTTGGCTGCATTAACCCAAACCATAACAAAGGCAGTCACGGAGAAGGTGTTAGCAGAGATAAAACCATTACTGCAACATCAGGGGAGTATCTCTGTTCATAATATGGGGGGAGAAAGGGGAAATAATGCTTCCACTACATCAAGCAATAGCTTAACAGCAGGTTCTTCTGGGTCAGTTTGTCAAATAACAAATAAGTCAGTGGATGCAAGTATCTCAGGATTGGTATCAGGCGCTGTAATCGAACACAGTTCACAGATTGTAGGTACTGAACTTCCACCTGCAGCAAATGTCGGTAAGAAATCAGGTTTTGTAAGCTCATCAGTACCGATAGAGGCAACTGTTTCTGACAAAATAAAATCTAAAATTTGGTCAAAACAATATGTTGATATGGCTCTGTTGTTAAAAAAGGAAAAGGGGAAAAGTAAGTATTCCATCAAGGTAGAGGAACAGGATCAGACAGGTAAGGTGGTAATCCACAATATGCGATCCACAGATGATGACGAAATTAGGGATGGTTCGTTATCCCTGCATGACTGGGTAACTGCGTGGAATGGGTATGTGACAATATATTGCATTAAAGATACACTTGCACAGCCAAAGCTTGCAAAACACATGGAATCAGTAAGGCAAATTGCAGAGGAAAAGGGGGACTGGAGAAAATATGATAAGGAGTTCAGGGAACTCATAGAACAAGGTGAGGTAGAATGGGGTGATGTCCATATGGAGATATATGTTAATGCTCGCCTCAAACAATCAGAAAAGAAGTCAAGCAAAATAACACCAGACCGTTCGTCATTTGGTACGTATGAGGAAGTCCCTCAGGGGTCATGCTTTGCCTATCACAAAGCTGGAAGGTATTGTAGGCTTGGTTCATCATGCAAATTCCAGCACAGATATTATAACTGTGGTGGCTTCCATCCAATCTACATATGTAAAAAACCAATTCAACGGCCATTTCGTTTCTTGGACAAATCCAGAACCCAAAAACCATTTCAAGGAAATGGCACATCAACCAACACAGGTAATGCTAAATTCTCAAAGCCAACCTATCCCACAAAAGGGTCCAACTCCAGTAAATCCCAGTAGATTAGAGTACTGGTTGGTGGGGTATGACAAGGTAGAAACAGAATTTTTAGTTAATGGTTTTCGATATGGGTTCTACATTGGTTACACAGGGGAAAGTAGAAATACTCTTTCAAAAAATTTAAAATCGGCACTGGACTTACCAGAAGTTATTAGCAAAAAGTTAGAAAAGGAGATAAATTTGGGTAGAATTATGGGTCCTTTCAAAGAGAAACCACTGCCAATTTTAAATTGTTCCCCTTTAGGTCTAGTTAGTAAGAAAACAGAGGGTGAGTACCGTATGATCCATCATTTGTCATATCCGGAAGGTGAGTCTGTCAATGATGGCATACCCGAGGAAGAGTCATTTGTTCAGTACTCTTCTGTAGAGGATGCTATTCAAAACATTAAGCAGTGTGGGAAAGGATCATATTGTTGCAAAACAGATATTTCTAATGCATTTCGAATTATCAACTTACATGCATCACAGTTTGAATACTTTGGTTTCACTTGGCAAGGTCATTGGTATTTTGACACATGTCTTCAGATGGGTTGCAGTTCTTCCTGTCGTATATTTGAAAGGTTTAGTACAGCACTTCAGTGGATTGCACAAGAAAAATTAGGAATTAAATTTATGACTCATGTATTAGATGATTTTCTAATTGTTGACAAATCTGCGACAGAGTGCCACAAAAAACTTGTGGCATTTTTAACAGTTTGCGCCGACATAGGTGTACCTATGGCTAAGGATAAGACATTTGGTCCTAACAAGGTAATGACTTTTCTGGGATATGAATTAGACACCGAGATGATGGAGGCAAGGTTACCTATTTATAAAGTTAAAAAATGTAGAGATACAATTGAACAGCTTTTACCAAGCAGAAAGATTACTTTGAAGGACATGCAGTCAGTGATTGGTCTTCTTAATTTTGCGTGTAATGTAGTCTTGCCAGGTAGAGCGTTCTTAAGGCGACTTATCAACACTACTATTGGCATTACAAAAGCATATTATCGCATTAGACTAAACAAAGAAGTAAAAGCAGATTTATGTACTTGGTTAGCCTTCTTGGAAAAATTTAATGGTAGGTCGGTTTTCTTACCAGATAGGTGGGTTGATTCCAATGAATTAAAACTGTATACAGACGCTTCAGGATCTATAGGATACGGGGCAGTGTTAGGTGGGCACTGGTTCTATGGGACTTGGAATGATAATTGGAAAAAATGTAATATTACTCTCTTGGAATTTTACCCAATAGTGTTAGCTCTTAAAGTTTGGAGTCATATTTTTAAAAACAAATGGATTTACTTTTACACAGACAATTATGCCCTTGTGCATATAATTAACAAGCAATCGTCTAAGGATAAAAGTATAATGTATTTGGTTAAAGAGTTAGTGCTAATTTGTTTGCAGTTTAACATTTTGTTTAAAGCTAGGCATCTGGGTACCAAGGAAAATATTCTATGTGATTGCTTGTCTCGTTTGAAGGTGCAGCAGTTCCATCAACTTGCTCCTTGGATGGACAAAGAACCAACGGTGATTCCCAATCTGCCAACATTACCTCCTTAGAACCAGTCTTGAGGAACCTGTTGACTTCAACATTGGCACCAGCTTCCACTCAAGCATATAAACGGGCATGGTCTATTTATAGAAATTTTGCAAACAAATTTGATATGAGTAATGATCTTCCGTTGTCTCAGGAAACTTTGGCTTTGTTTATCTCTTATTTATTTGCTGAAGGTTATGCAGCCTCCTCTATCGTGTCATTTATTTCATCAATAGCATATATACATAAAATTAATAATTTGCCTGACAATACATCATGCTTTCTCATTCAGAAACTATTAAGTTCCTGTCGCAAATCAAGACCTTCAATGGATATTCGTTTACCAATAACCATAGTAGTTCTGCATAAAATTTGTAATGCTTTAGAACATACAATATCGAACATATATAAAAGGGCATTATTTGAAACAGTGTTTTTATTGGCTTTTCACGGCTTCCTCAGAATAGGAGAGATAACATCAGTTGGCACTGCTAATAAGGTTTTACAAATTTCACAGATTACTTTTCAAAAAAGTAAAGTTTTGATTCACTTTCAAAATTATAAACATTCTGATGTTTAAGTTTTTACTCTTACAATTCATTCTTGCAACTCTTTAAAATATTGTCCAGTGGGGGCATTAGAACACTACATTAAGATGAGAGGGAGGACCGATGGGCCCCTTTTTTGCTACCCCCAAAACACTGCAGTCACAAGACAAGAATTTTCAAACATATTAAAGCAAAGCCTCATGTTTTGTAATTTGGATGTCAATAGATTCAAAGGACATTCCTTTCGAATCGGAATGGCCTCTTACTGTGCATCACGAGGGATGAGCGATAGTCAGATTAGATTCCTGGGTAGATGGAAATCGGATGCATTTAAATATTACATAAGACATGTGACACCATGTTGATGTATGCTTGAGTGGAAGTTGATCCTCGGAGCAGATTTGTTTTGTTTTTTGTGTAGGATCTCAACTTTGAAGTGATTTTCAAGAGTATTAACGTATTGGGGCATATGTTTATCCCTCATCCAGAACAATAGTGCCTAAGTCATTTGACGCAAAATGGAATAACAGCCGGAGGGTTTTTGAATTACAACATTTTGCCTTATAAAATTTTGCATTAGGATTATCTTGGACTTGACATAAAATATGTTCCCTTATAATCCAACGTGTTTTATATTCCTATGCAGAAGAATTTCTTCAAATAACTACCTGTCATTGATCCGGGTTAGAATAGGTCCTCAGTACCCCCTTGCTTGTCGTAAAAGACGACTAAATGGGGCGGTCCTTCGGATGAGACCGTATAAACCGAGGCCCCGTGTCACAGCAGGTGTGGCACGATAAAGATCCCTCCCTGCTCAAAGGCCGTAAGTGCCGAGCATAGGCCTAAATTTGCAGCCCTTCACCGGCAATGGTGATGTCTCCATATCAGTGAAATATTCTGGAGAGGGACGTTAAACAGTATACAATCAATCAATCAATCATTGACATATTGATTGATTGTATATTGTTTAACGTCCCTCTCGAGAAATTTTCACTCATATGGAGACGCCACCACCTGCCGGTGGAGAGCTGCAAATTTTGTCCTATACTCGGCACTCACGGTCATTGAGCAGGGAGGGATCTTTTTCGTGCCAGCACCTACTGCAACACGGGACCTCGGTTTATATAGTCTCATCCGAAGGACCAGTCTCAACGTCCCACAGTGGGATTCAAACCCGCGACGTAAGGAACAACTCCGTACTTCGCGACTCTAGAGCAGTCTCTCTAACCACTGCACCACGCGGGCGACTGTCATTGACATAAAGAAAATACTTAACGAGACCATCTTTTCAACATTCAGTTATATATCTACGTCGTAATTTTAATGAAAAAAAATATTTTTAGGGGACGACCATTTGATTCTGAGGAGGGGGGGGGGGTGGGGGGGCCTGGCAGATTTTGGAAATAAATAATCTGTCCCTGAAAATGTTGAAAATAAATAATCTGTCCTCCACTACAGAGAAAATAAATAATCTGACCTTGACTTCTGATAATTAAATATTGTAAAAATACCTTTTTTATTTACGTGTTATTTAATCTCAAAAGTCTTCAATTCAAAAAATTTTTTGGCTCGCTTCGCTCGCCATTTTAGAACCAAATAGTATTTTAAGTCAGATTACCAGACTTGATACTTAAGTCAGTTTATCAACATGACAATGTGCACTTAGTAGGTGTGATGAATAACTTTAAATACAAACCAATTCTTATACACCACAAAAGATAAATTTTCTTGCCAAATTATTATACTTTCCTGATAAAATACAAAATTTACTCTGGCGGATTTAAGGGGGACGTACATGTGTACGACCCCGGGCCCTCCCTTAACATTTCAAAGTATGATATGAATAATAATAATAATAATGCCATACTTTGGGACAATACCAATATATTTGTGCCTAGTTTTACTCTTTAAAATACACAAAAACCCAAGAGCTTCAGGGGGCTTCGACCCCTGGGCCCTTTCATTCAAAGTATGATATGACTTAATTATGTCATACTTTGGTACACATCTAACCAATTCCCACAAAAGTTATACTCTTATACATATAGAAAAACCAAAGAGCTTCAGGTGGCTTTGCTCCCTGCACTTACTTCATTCAAAGTATGGTATGACCAGTATTAATTATGTCATACTTTGGTTCATAATAACCAAAACCACTATAATAGTGCTTGGTTTTACTCTTAAAATAAACAAAACCCAAGAGCTTCGGGGGGGGGGGGGGTACTCCTTGGCCTCCTCAAGGGCTTCGCCAAGGACCCACAGGGGCCCTAACGGCGGCCCCAGACCTCTTGCCTGGACGAAGAGACCCTGTTCCCCTCCCCCAAATCCTGTAGCCGAATATGGTATATAAATGATTAGTCTTTTAGAATCAACTGCTCAAGGTACGGTAAGACATAAAAGAAAATAAATAATCTGTCTTTGTAAATCTTGAAAGTAAATAATCTGTCCTCGACAGGCATGAAAATAAATAATCCGTCTCAAAAAAATTTGCCAGCCCCCCTCAGAATCAAATGGTCGTCCCCTTAACACACGTATATTTTTTAGCTTGTGCAAATCTTATGTATGTATGTATGAATATTGTATACCCTTGAGATGCAATGTTTCCGGTTCAAATAAAACATATAATAGCGGAAAACATGGGATAATTTGCATAACGGACGATTCCTTATATTTCCAGTTTTACTTAAAATAACAATCTTAAAATAAATCGAAATACCGTCTAATTTAGTAGATTTAAAACGCACGAGGCATTTCATGTTATTTTTATTGCCCCGCCCCTTGACATCAAATTTTACTATAAAAAATAGTCCCATAAAAAATCTAATGTTTATTTAGTTACTGTAGTCAACTATCAACATCTATAAAATAAACAACAAAAAAATTTTAAATTGTGATCAAAGCAATCTTGTTAACTAATTATATAGGTGACCTAGTTTGTCGAAAGCACGAACAAATGTATAGGCCCTAGGTCACTTCTCCGCCGCCATACCGAATGCAATGTTGCAGTTGATTAAACGGGAGTTGGTCAGCAAGGTCACGAAACATATTTGTGTAAATGTTAAAGTGTTAGAGAAAGTTGAGTTGGTTACGAAGTCGGATGGTAATAGCTGACGGACGATGTCTGTATCAGATGATGGAGTGCAGATCTATGTGGCGATGCCGATTTCTCCACGTGGTTCAGATGGGCTGTTTACCATGTTTACGGATGTGGAGTTCTCGGTCTCGCGAGGCCTCGGTGATGATGGACATAGTCTGGTCCCCTTCCCACAATTCCGTTCGCGCACTCTCTACATTGAGGTCAGGCATCGGTTGATTCACTGTTAGACGTTGTGCAATTTCAAAAAGGAGGACAAAGTAAGTAACCATCTCGAGAAATAATTGCTCATATCTATTTGTTTTACATCATGACAACTTATTTCATCAATGCTTACTGTTAACCAAAATTGTTTTCTATTTATTTTTTTATTCATTTGATTTATTTTGCGTAAATTTACACTGTTATCACTGGATCAAAAAATGTTTACATTTTAAGAACGTGGAGGTAGTCAAAATTGACCCCCAATATTTCCTTTGTCGTGGACCGACATCAAAATTTTATTGTCTAGTCTAATGTATATATGAATGATC